AAGTCCTCGAGTGGAAGCTCTGCCAGCACCCGCCTCTAAAGACGTGGATCAAGGGCCGCGTGGCCTTGCTCGGGGACGCCTGCCATCCAATGCTGTAAGCCATCGCAACCATCACGACGGTATCTCTCTAACGCTTGCAGTCCATACGTCGGCCAAGGTGCCGCCCAGGCAGTCGAAGACGCCGCCGCGCTGGGCGTCCTCCTATCCACCATTTCTTCTCGCCGCGAAATCCCCCTCGCCCTAGCGGTGTACGAAAGGTCGCGCAAACACCGTGCAGAGACAGTACAGCAGTCCGGAACCGTCAACCGCGCGACACTGCATCTCCCCGACGGACCGGAACAGCAAGCCCGCGACGACCAGTTTCGCGCGTCGATGAACGGGGCGTCGAATCCCGATAAATGGGCTGATCTGGAGACGCAGAAGTTCCTCTGGGGCTGGGATGCAGAGAAGGTGGCTCTGGAGACTTGGGAAGGTGAATCACCTTTCAACTAAGCTGGTTATGTGAGCGAGAGAGCTAACGATGATGGTTGTGTGTTTGGTAGAGTTTCGTGGGAACCGCTTGACAGCCACGCGACATCATTTGTGATTCTTTCCTAGGGGCCTTTTCATGAGCGCGTTAAGCAGGTTTGGTCATGCTTGTGTTTTTGCGGAATCATTTTTATAGTAGACTTGGTGTACATATACTTCTTTAGTTTGGGTCCTAGCTTCTTCTGCTGATGAGTGACAGTCTATGGATTCTACACAATTCATGGCATATTCTTTATGAACTGATATATGAATCTCTATCTGGTTACTTGAAAGGAGTTATATCTTCTCGAGTTTCTTCCTGAGGTAAGGACCACCACCGCGCCGCGAGAACCCCCATCGGATCTGGTTAGCCATCGAGATCTCCAGATTCAACTCTTCGGCCCAGGCCCACACCAACCCCGGGTTCTTCTGGAAGCCACGTCCAACCAGCACAAGGTCCAGCCCGTCCTTCTCTAACAAGGAATTAGCCATATGCGCGCTGTCAATCATGCCCACCGATGCCACTGCTAGTTTGTCCCCGACGGCGTTCTTGACGGCGATGGCAAAGGGTGCTTGGAAGCCTGGCTTCGCGTGGATATGCTGCTCCGAATGAGTGCCGCCGCTGCTCACGTCAAGGACGTCAATGTACCCGGTTTCTGCCAGTATCTTTGCAAATCGGACAGTGTCCACGCCCCGCCAGCTGGGCTTGTGCGGTTGCACCTCCTCGAGCCAATCGGTGGCGGAGACCCGCAGGAAGACAGGCATATCCTTGGGCACGTTTTCCCGGGTCAGTTTGGCGATCTCCAAACTGAGCCGGATGCGGTTCTCGAAACTGCCTCCGTACTCGTCTGTCCTCGTATTGACCGCAGGTGAGAGGAACGACATCAGAAGATAACCATGCGCATTGTGGATCTCGATGAAGTCCGCCCCGGCCTTGACAGCCCGTTTTACAGCGGCCACCCAGGCGGTCTTCAGATCCTCGATATCCTGCTTGGTCATCTCCTTCGGCACCGGGTTCTTGTCGGTGAAAGGCACATTCGTCGGGCCTTTGACGCGGTCTGGCCAGCCGCCCATCTTCTCGGAGGCGGTATCGTTGGCCGAGAGCCATGGCGCGACGGTGCTGGCCTTGCGACCTGCGTGTGCGATCTGCACGCCGATGAGCTGGTTCTGGCTGTGGACGAATTCGATCACGCGGCTCAATGGCTCAATCTGCGAGTCTTTCCATAGTCCCAGGTCCTGGGGTGTGATTCTACCTTCCGGCTCGACTGCTGTTGCCTCGACCATTAGGAATCCTGGTCCTCGTTGGGCAATCCCTCCAAGATGGGCCATATGCCAGGGAGTCATGTGTCCATCATCGGCTGAGTATTGGCATAGCGGCGATAGCTACCATATCACTCATGTAAGCGAGTTGTCCAATTGAAACGGCTCGCATAGACGGCTGGGAGGATTGCCTGGACTGGTACTCACACCAATGCGATTGTGAAAGGTCAGACCCCGCACCGAAAGGGGCTGAAAGAGCTTGGGAGGTACCGACCCATCAGACTGAGGATTTGCAGCTGTGCCTGCAGGCGGTTCTTGTGCCGGAGTAAAATATGAGATACCCGGGGCGCGCTTGTTCTCGATATCAGGCACTGCAGGTCGCGACATGGTGTCTATGGATGTCTTATACGTAATTGCAATATCAATACAGCTTGACCGAGAATGAAGAACAAGAAGGGATGCAAAGTTCAGGAAATACGAGATTAAAAGTCAGTGCAATTGAAAGTGATTAGAAATCGCCTTTGCGCTACTGCGGACCGATGATGTAACACTGTTTCCGGTGTTCGTGCCGAGGCCTTGCAGTCGTAGTAAAAACGGGCTGTATCTCTGAGGGGAAGCGACAAGACTTCGAAGAGCTTCCGTAATATGATCAAAGAGTTGCATCTTTCTGACTGATACTTCTGCTTCAACTTCCCTCCTCCATTGGTCCACGCGGCGATGTCCCTACATAGTACCTGGATGGTTCGGCACTTGTTTCCTTCCATATGTTATCGAGACTAGAGCATCGGCGGCTATCCTTGGTCAGTAATGACTGGGTGACTCCAATATGAACTCCATAACAGTCCACTATCATGTTTTTAACATTCATGTCGCTGTGACAGGTCATTTTATGCAGGCGCATCTCATCCTGTCACGGAGGATGGTGGTTTCTTATCGCTCAGTTCGCTCAGGCTTAGACCACACGATCGTCTATCTCGACTGAGAGTTCAGCATCTCATGCCCATCAGCACACTCCATATGATTTTGAGATCTCTCTCATAAACGATCTTCTCGCGATGCTCTTGCTCTTCCAACGTCTTCGAAGAATGGAGTTTCTACTGTTCCATCCGGCAATGATCGACGCCCCGCCCTTATCTTATCGGGCAGCGATTTCGGCGGTGCCAAGCGCCCTAGTCCCCAACAGGCAATGCCCCAGACCGCCAGGTACAGAGGGAGGTCTCTCCCGCCAAAACTTTTTTTCCAGGAACTGGAGGGAATGACTCAATCCACTGTTTAAATACTTCCCCCCCACAAGCTCCGTTCCCTCTCCAATTGTTCCTTCTCCCTACTCCTGATTCCCTCACCATCAATTGCTGCCTCACACATATCAACCATGTCGAAAGGAAAGGTCTGCGTCGCCTTCAGCGGTGGTCTCGACACCAGTGTCATCTGTAATTGCCCCACACTTTCACCAGGAGTGTTTTGGGGCCCGTGCTGACCGCTGATTCAAGTGAAATGGCTCATTGACGAGGGCTACGAGGTTGTTGCTTTCAGTAAGCGGATTCGGACTTTGGACAACGTGGAGAGCATGACTGACTTCTTCAATAGCTGCCGATGTTGGCCAGGAAGGTAATTCATCAATGCGAGATTCGAATTGGGATGATCTTGAGGTTCTGACTCATCGCTCGTCTAGAGGACTTTGACGCTATCCGGGAGAAGGCCCTGAAGCTCGGGGCCGTCAAGTGCGAGATTGCCGACCTGCGCCGTATGTTTGGTCGAAAGTTTTGTCTGGGTGTTTACAATGGGATCTAATGCAAATGTAGGGGAGTTCATTGAGGAGCTCTGCTTCCCCGCCATTGCCTGCAACGCTATCTACGAGAACGTCTACCTTCTGGGTATGTGATTGGTGCCAAAAGAAAAACGGTCTTGATGCTAATTACCCTTGAAGGAACTTCTCTGGCCCGTCCCGTCATTGCTCGTGCTCAGATCGAGGTCGCCAAGGTTGGTTCCCCTGCTGATTACGATACTCGAATCGCACATTGACAAGGATCGTACAGAGGGAAGGATGCTTCGCCGTTTCCCACGGTTGCACCGGCAAGGGTAACGACCAGGTCCGTTTCGAGCTTGCCTTCTACGCCCTTCAGCCCGATATCAAGGTCATTGCCCCCTGGCGTGACCCTGCTTTCTACAACCGCTTCGCCGGTCGCAACGACCTGCTCTCTTACGCCGCCGAGAAGGGCATTCCCGTGACCTCCACCAAGTCCAAGCCCTGGTCTATGGACGAGAACTTGGCCCACTGCTCCTACGAGGCCGGCATTCTCGAGGACCCCGACGTCACTCCCCCCTCCGACATGTGGAAGCTCACCCAGGACCCTCTCACCGCCCCAGACCAGCCCGAGGATTTCACCGTTCACTTTGAGAAGGGTATCCCCGTCAAGCTGGAATACACTGAGGGTGGCCAGAAGAAGGTCGCTACCGACGCTGTCGACCTTTTCTTGACCGCCAACGCTATTGCTCGCCGCAACGGTGTTGGCCGTATCGACATTGTTGAGAACCGTTTCATCGGTATCAAGTCTCGCGGTTGCTACGAGACCCCTGGTCTCACCTGCCTGCGCGCTGCTCACATGTGAGTTTCCTCGTTCTGTCTTTTCTGGCTGTCGCTAATTCCGGCCACAGTGATCTGGAAGGTCTGGTTCTGGACCGTGAGGTCCGTGCTCTGCGGGACCAGTTCGTCACCTTCAACTACTCCAAGGTTTGTTTCTGCCAGGCCGAATTACTCTGTAGGATGGACTACTAACCCCGCCCCAGCTCCTCTACAACGGTCTCTACTTCTCCCCCGAGCGCGAGTTCCTCGAGGCTTCCATCACCGCTTCCCAGAAGACCGTCAACGGACAGGTCCGTTGCCGCGCCTACAAGGGCAGCGTCTCCATTCTCGGCCGTTCCTCCGAGACCGAGAAGCTGTACGACATGTCCGAGTCCAGCATGGACGAGATCGGTGACTTTGCTCCCACCGAGACCACCGGCTTCATCGGCGTGTCCGCTATCCGTCTGAAGAAGTACGGCCAGATGAAGCAGGCCAACGGCGAGAAGATGTAAAGCGTGTGTTTGAGCATAACCTAGGATGGGCTGCTTGCGGCCTTGGGTCTTTTTTTCGGGTATCTTGTTTTATATTATACATCTATTTAGCACTTGACGTGTAACGGAATACAAAAGAATGAACGATCATCCTGAACCATCAACAGGCATGCCGTGTATCATAATCCGTCGTAACCGATGATAGTGTCGTTCCATACCGCGCAAACTCCTTTCGAATTTGGTGGCAACAGTGATCCCGGGTCATTTAGCTTCCCCAGATTCTGTAGCCAGTTGAGAGCAACCTTTAGCATGACACCGTCCCAATTATCCACGGCTATATCACGAATGGCCTGTACATGTGTCTCTCCAGCACACAGAACAAGCTCGGTGTCAGCAGCCGGACTCGACGAACCAAGCAACTCCCCAAACTCCCGGATATCATCCACATAAACCTCGTCCGTACCCGCCAGGAGCAAAACCTTCTTAGCAGGAACCGAACCCCAAAACTCCTTCGTCCCAGCCAGCGGCGTCGCCCAAACCTCCTCCTTCACAGGCTGCCAATGCGAATTAAACACCTCCATCGACGCCTTACTAACAATATCCTTCGAAGCGTTATACGTATAGCTCGCAGCGGAGCACGTATTCGCACAACGAGGACTAATACACAGCGCCGCACGGAGCTGCCGCTGCTCCTGCTGAACCCCATCAAAAACAGACCGAACAAGCGGATGCGGATCCCGCAGATGCGCCACAACCGCCAGCGCAAGATTCCCACCCGCCGAGTCGCCCGCTATCGTGATCTCCGCGGCATCATGGTCCTGCAGCAGGTACCGCAGCGCGGCGGCCGCCTGCGCGAGTTGGCCCGGGTACTTGAGTTCCGGCGCGAGTGTGTACTCGAGCAGGACGCATTTCGCGGTTAGTCTTTGTGCGGCTGCGCGCGCGAACTTGAAGTGGCCGGTGGATAGCGGGGTGATGTACCCGCCGCCGTGGAAATAAAGTAGCACGTTCCCGCGCGCGGCGGGATCACAGTCGATGAAGTGCAGGGTCGCGCGGGGCAAGGCGCCGCCTGCGTCTAGTTCGACGGTCTCATGGCGGAGGTGGTGGGCTTTACAGAGTGAGGCGATGGTGCTTCCTGATGGGCGTTGGAGAGCGCGTGCCTGAGGGAGCGGGAGCGAGTCGGCTAGGCGGGCGGTGTTTCTCATCCAGATTGTTCTGAATGAGGCGGAGTCTTTGTTGAAGAGGAGGTCCCGCGTGATGCTGAAGATGAGACGGGGGAGGGAGACGAGTACCCTTGTGAGTAGTTGGAGTCTTTGGAGCAGGGTGAGCCGCGGCGGGAGATGGCTTTTGGCTCCGAGGACCGTCATGTGTGTAACGGCGTTGGCGATGTGTTACTTAGCGACTCTTGATAGTTCCCTATTGTGAATATCTCAACTAGCAGTAGGCGAGACCCATCTCTGCCGTTTTGAGAAGATGGATGGTGATGTTAATGGACTTGGGAGTTTGGACTTTTTCAGATAGAAAATCACGTGCCTACATCAACCATCGTGCAAATGAATCAGGCTGGTTGTATGCTTCTTCATAACTCAATCATCAAGAGGCAATGACAATACGACAAGCTGGATTGCCAAGGTGTCAGCTCGCAAACGAGATGATCTAGTGAAAACGCCTACTCCGATTGAAAGACTGCCTAAAATGATGACAGTGATTAGTCGCATTCAGTGTCCATTAAGAAGCCAGGTTGGCCCACCGCAATGACGATAACGGAGTCGGGTAGATCTTTGCACCCACCACTCTGTCATTACAACATCGCAAAAGAGTCAGACTCAAACTCAAGTCAATAGGCTGCTCGATGCCTGTATCTAAAAACCAGGGATGAAATGCTGTTTGTCGGACCCTCTGTCAACAATCTGCTATTTCACAACTTCTGAAGCTTTTAGTTGAGAGCTACTCATTCGCAGTCTTGCGGATAGCGACCAAGAGTCTTAGTCTTTCCTTTAGCTGAGATTTTGGCATCTCCAACACAAGGACACAAGCTTTCTGGGCGGCGAGCTTCTCATGGCAGAGTGCCAGCGACCTCTTAAGACATCCTAAATTCATCCCTTGACCGAGTCAGGTAACAGGATACTCCTACTTGATATTCGATACTCGCAAAACAGCCTAGTCTGGTATTTCTTCATATGCGTGCAATTGAGTTCAACTCCCTGAGCCAGGTTTCGTAAGGTCTCTCCATCGCCTATTCAAGATGACGATCAAGATCCCATGGTCGGCAGTTTACCTTGCCATTGCAGCCTCCGTCTACATGAGACCTCAATATACAATCCTTGACTCACCAACGGCGACATTCGTCGTGCTGTCTCTGGCTGTTACTTCGTTCAGGATCATCTATGCCCTCGTCCTGTACCCTAAATTTTTCACTCCTATAAAACACATTCCCACACCTCCGGTAAGAATCTTTATTGCGCGGACCGAGCAGGTTCTAAACCTATAATAACAGAACTGGTCATGGCTCACTGGAAATACGAGCACGTATCTCCTCGAAGCGCCTTTCGAAGAGATGATCGAATGGGCTTACAAAGTGCCCAACAACGGATTAATTCGTTACTATATGGTTGGCAATCTCGAACGTGTATTGCTAACGAACCCTAAAGCCCTGAGTGAGCTCCTTGTCACGAAGGTATACGAGTTTCCCAAGCCCCAGATGGTAAGGCAAAGCCTTGCACGCGTTACAGGAAAGCATGGTGTGCTTCTTGTCGAAGGGGACGAGCATAAGGTGAGCGGTCTTTGCTGATCTGAACGTGGATCCCGACTCATGGAGCTGGGTCATGCAGAAGCAACGAAAGAATCTTATGCCGGCTTTCTCATACCGCCACATAAAGAACCTCTACCCGACTTTCTGGTCCAAGAGCATTGAGATGGTCAAGCTGATCGAAAAGGACCTCCATAACCGAGCAGACGCCAAAGACGATATTGTTCGGGTGAGCGAATGGGCCAGCAGAGCAACGCTGGACATCATCGGTGTTGCAGGAATGGACCATGACTTTGATTCTCTCCACGATTCTAACAACGAGCTGGCCAAGCACTACCGGCGGCTCCTCGCAGTGCCGCCGCTCGCAATGCGTATCATTTTTGTCGTTGGCGTCCTATTCGGGAGCGTCGGAGCCGTGCAAAGCCTCCCACTGAAGCGAAACCGCGAGATTCGTGAAAGCTCTCTCTACATCCGCGACGTGGCGCGCCAAATGATCCGCAAAAAGGAGGCAAAGATGAAGACCCAAGCATCCGCCGAAACCGGAACCGACATCGTCTCCGTCGCCCTGCAAAGCGGCGCCTTCACCGAAGAGGAGCTCGTAGATCAAATGATGACCTTCCTCGCGGCCGGCCACGAAACCACCTCCACAGCGCTCCAGTGGTCGATCTACGCCCTGTGCAAGCATCCGGACGTGCAGACGCGCCTGCGCGAGGAAATCCGCGCCCACCTTCCCCCTATCTCGCCGGAGAACCCCGAGCCCCTCTCCGCAGCCACGCTCGACTCCCTCCCTTACCTCAACGCCTTCTGCAACGAGGTCTTCCGCTTTCACCCTTCTGTCCCGGGTACCATGCGCGACGCAGCCAAAGACACCACACTCCTCGGGTACCCTATTCCCAAGGGCACGAGGATACTCGTCTCCCCGGAAGTCATCAACCACAGTAAGGAATTGTGGGGTCCTGACGCAGACCAATTCAACGTTGAGCGGTGGTTGGGTCCGGGACGTGCGAATACGGGCGGTGCCAGTAGCAATTACTCGTTTTTGACCTTTTTGCATGGCCCACGGAGTTGTATTGGACAGGGCTTTGCGAAGGCTGAGCTGGCCTGTCTTGTTGCGGCTATTGTAGGACGGTTCCAGATGGAGTTGAAGGACCCGGATGCGAAGCTTGAAACGAGACGGTCGGCCACGGTTGCTCCAAAGGATGGAGTGCTGGCTAGATTTACCCCGTTGGAAGGGTGGTAAGGGCACATACTGTGTTGAATACATGTCTCATGGCTTGCACAGATTGCAGGTGCAGGTACTTTCAGCTAGATAAGCCTAGAATGGCGAGTGCTATATCAACCAGCTACTGGTATTCCTCTCTGAAAACCATTACCCTCTCAACGTCCTTCCCAGTAGCATCTTCCTCAACCCACGCTCGCCACATCCCCCCACAATTGAAATCAAAAACCACCTTGCCCCGACTTAGCCCCTTCTTCAGCTCCCCGTGCAAACCGGCACCAGTAGCATCCAACACCGTCTCGGCCTCGATCCCAATGATGCCCCCCTCACCTTCCCCAGTCTTACCCCATCTCCGGCCCGCGGAACGCTGAAGTTCTCCATCCGGACCGGCAACCGCACTAACAGCTTCCGCGAGAGAATGAGGAGCCGATGCCTGCGAGTATCGAAGCATAGCACAGGCTGTGCGAGCCGCCGCAACGCGCAGGAAGGAGTCCCCGTTTCCGGTGCCTGACAGCGCAACGGCTCGTCGTCTGACGTGCCGCGGCGTAGATTCCTGCTCAAGGAGTGCCTGCTTCTCGGAGCTGTGCTCCAGACTTGGTGACCGCGTATCCGTATCCGGCCACAGGAACCTGTTCACAACCGGCGGGACGCACTCGGATACCATCCGCCTAATGGCTGTAGTTCCAGGCGAAGTATCCTCCTCATCGCGCGGGTCCGACCTCGAGGACCGGTACACCATACCCCCCCGCTCACCCCCGCGCAACACCTCCTCCCACGCCTCAGCCCAAAACCCTGCCCCGAGCGTCGGCGTATCCCCAATCCGCCCCGGAAGCTTATTCGTCCGCCCGCCCGTACTCGTCGCAACAGCCAGATTCCCCCACCGGTCAAGAGACACACACCCGACCGTCCCCTGGCTCATGGAGACAGGCTCCGCCTCCCCCCTAAGCCCGCGCCGATGTTCCTCCCACCGCCTCTTAGTCCAGAACCATTCGTCCGGCTTGAACTCCAGCCCCCACGCACGAGCCAGTTCCTCCACATACGGCGCCACAAGCTGCGAATGCATGTTCCCGCCGTCGCCGTTAGGGTCGCCGTTGGCGTCGTGGCCTGTTCGGAGGAGACACTCTCTCGCGAGCTGGATCGGGTGTCGGACGTTTCTCAGCCCCATCACGCCTGCGCCTCGTTTGATGGGGATGGGCATCGCGTCGTCGGTGGCTTTGTTGACGGTTGTGACCATTACGGAGGCTTCCATTTCGATTGTCCCTGCCGAGGTGAACACGCTGCCGCGCCCGCAGTTGAAGAGCTCGTCGTCTTCCAGCAGCGACACGGCGTGGACGGCTGCGTCTAGGGCGCTGGCGCCGCTGTTCAGGAGATCTTTCGTTGAGCGGAGGTAGGAGAGGAGGGAGGCATGGTATTGAGCGTAGAGGTCTGGAGGGAGTCTCGAGCGCTGGATATTGCCCGCGCCACCGTGGATAATGAGGGCGGGCTTGAACGTCGCTGGGACGGAATCGGGCATGGTTGCTTGGTTCAGTGATCGGGGTTGATGGGACCTGGCTGCATATAATGAATCTAGCTTCAGGTAGTAAACACCACGATGCAAAGATGGTGAAATAGCCAATCAGAAAAATAGAAAACTTCACCAACCAGATTGAGTTTTGATTGAGAGAACCCGCAATCAAAATGATGAGGTTCTTGTGTCATGCGCTGATCGGCGGCCGAACACCGTAGCTCTGCCTGACCCCTCTGCAAAGTAAGGTTCCCTTCCGCCGTCTCCAACCCTGAGTGATTCTGGCCACGCCAGCTGAAAAGAGAAGATAGACAATCAATGTGTGCTGAGAAGTCAGATTTAGACCTGTTTATCTGCATGTTAATGTACAAGAAGTGGGATGCGCCCAACAAATCCCAGGGACCTGTGCAGAGAGCTCTTCTTTTCGCCTCCGAGCTAAGCAATAGAAAACACAAAGGATTGACAGAAGTGTACAACCCATCATCGCCGGCAAACCCAGTGCTCAGAGACAGTCAAAAGTTGGACTAGAAGCACAATACGAAAGCAAAAAACCTCTATGCCATGCCTCGTTGAAGATGAAATGACCAGACCCAACACCTGAGAAGAGAGATACGTAATAATATAGGACATAGATGGGAATTCGGCTCACACCGGAGGAAGAATTGTAGCTGCAATGGTAAGACATTAGGTGATTTATGCGATGGCCTTTTCGCCAGACGGAGGAGGGGGAGGGAGCTATTAACCATCGACGTCAGCCACAATCGTAACAAAAAGAAAATGCGAGACTCCATACCTCTAGTTTTGTGTTATCCGCCATCATCCTCTGGAACCCAATACCAACACCCTCAATGACAGCCAGGAAAACAGCGCACATGATGGCAGAGTTCCTCGCAGC